AAACAATAGTTTTCTGCGATTTCTGTCAAAAATTTTGACTGGAGGAGAACGATTGAAAAAATAATTTTCCAGCCCGCGGCCGGTTTTTTCTAATCGTCATCCCGGGCGCCGCCGCGTGAACACGACCCCCGGTCATATATTAATCGTCACCCTCCATTATCCAGCATCTGTGAAGGGACGATGTGAAGGGAAGCAGACTCTATACACCGACGCTTTGTCTTGCTGCTGCACCCACACTTGCATAGGAGTGCGGGTCCTGGTGCATACGGGATCCTGGTGTATACATGCTTCGCTGTTGCCCAGGGAAAACGCGGAAACATGCATCCATCACATCATCCCGGGAACACCGGGAAAACCGTTTTCTTCTCTTGGAGGCGCTGCTCTTTCTGCTTCCGCCACCTCCCGCCGACCCTCCGCCGGCCTTCCGCCGGCGGAGGCGGCCTCGTTTTGCTTCTACCGGTCTTCCGCCGCCCTTCCGCCGCCGACCGCCGCGGAAGAGAGGGCAACGCCTTCGATCCTCGAAGGCAAGGCCTCTTGTGGAACGCCCCAGATGTATCAAAATCTCGCCCAGGACGGCCACGTCATGTGCATCCACCTTCCTGGCACCAATATTCAGCATGCGATGAAATAGCTTGACTATGCTCCAGCAGCGCACGGGGCGCACAATGGGGTCAAGGGGAAGTTCTTATCTTACGCGCGGGCGAGACTCCAACTGAACAATGGGTAGCGCATGGAGTACTGCATGAACGAGCGAACGATTCGGGCTGGCAGGGACATCCTAGGAGACACGCGCCATCGGTTTACGACATTTTCCCCAGGATGCCTGCATACCCACCCGCCCAACCATGCCCTCAACACCGCGCACCGCTACGATGGATGAGCGGAAGCGAGGAGCCCAATTGTATGTCCTGAAAGGACACAAGACCACTTGAAGCCCAGCCCCTGGACTGGACCAGTCAGTAGATCCGGAACGAGGGAGGCCTGCGGTGAAGCCAATAATTCAACCTCTCGCGCGGGCGCATGCCGAACTCATTCGAACGCCATTGCGCGCTTGCTTTGAGAGGGACGACCCTGGCCAAATATTGCCATGTGGGCCACTCGCGCCCGCCGGCCGTGCGCACATGTCGAAATCCGTACAAAACCTTCATCGCCGACGCGTGGACACCATCATCGTCAGCGGCGTGACCAGCATCGGCGCCGTCAATGGCCTTGGCGTCGTCATCATCAACATCGTCACCAGCATCGCTACCAGCATTATCGTGTATGTCTTTGTCGACGTCGTCACAATATCGCGCCCGCCCGATGTACCGACTCGCACCGAAATGCCCACGCGTCAGCGCGGCCTGCTCGGCCGTCAGCGCGGCATGCTCAGACCAGCAGCCCCCGAAGGCAAACGCCACCGCGGCCGCGTCGGACGCGCCAGACTCGTCGGCCGCTCTGCGCGCGAGCCTGCGCTCGCTAGCGCGGCCGCAGCGATGCGCCAGCAAGCGCCAAGCACTCATCGCAATCGCCACCGCATGGAGTTTGCAAACCAAGATGCGGGTGGGTTGGTGGGATGATCGCGCGAGCAGTGGAGTTGACAACTAACTGCGAACAACAGCGAATTGTACCTAATGCTTTGCACGGCGTAGGTTGCACCACATAGTATGCCAGAACACATTGTTTGGGTCCCACGAGGAGCGCCTGTCCAACCCAGCGATGCCAGAGTTGCCTCTTGTGCATGCTGCATCAAGGCCACCGCCGAGGAAGGGGAGGAGGGGCGAGGGGTCGTTCGGCTGGCAGGGGGGGACCTGGAATGCCCGCGCCGTCCGGGCCAACCCCTCTGGGGTTTGCGTGCCCGCACGGGTGATGGCGTGGCCAGTGCTGCCCATGGCAGGGTGCAGCTCGGCCGAAGTCATGCATCATAGTTCAATGGGCTTCTGCCCAACCTCCTACAGAGCCTTTTCAGTCTCCAGTGTTGGCTCGCAACGCTCGCTTGGCAGTGGCGATCCAGACCTTGAGATTGCTGGCTTCCGAGAGCTAGATCAGATCAGATCTTCGTACTCTCGCTTGCTAAGCTCGCCTCCCCTGGCGAAACCAAAAGGTACCGATGCCGCTGCTGCCCGGACCCCTCCCGGGGTGCGTTCTGACCAGGACTTTGAGGCGAATCCAGCGGTGGCGACGGGGGCCGCCCAGGGGGCCCAGCAGAAGGGGAAAACGGCCGAAGGATAGAGGTATGGGTAACCGTTCCTCCTCTGAAGATCTTCGTCGCTTGCTTAGCTCGACTCCCCCTCCACCCCCCCCCCCGCGGGGCAGGGTCCCCCGCAGCGCCGGCACGGCATCGGCGCCGCCCGTGCAAGCGGCGCCGCGGCCCGAGGCGCCCAGGCCCTGCTGGCCGAGAGGGATGACCCGGGCCTCTCTTCTCTGGGGACTCCTCCTCCTCCTCCTCCTCCTCCTCCTCCTCCTGCTCCTCCTCCTCCTGCTCCTCCTCCTCCTCCTCCTGCTCCTCCTCCTCCTCCTC